TACTGTACTATTGACCTGGGTTCTGTTTTATTTCTTCATTCTTGTCTATTTGCTACTAAGAAGCCAGTGGTGTTTTGAAACCCATATTTTATGCATACTAAACTCAAGCCTGCATCAATTTGAAGACAACAAGTTTGCAATGATCAATTCGTACTTAAAATAAATCACCTATGTATGTTCGTGTGTCACTCTTAGCTGAGCTCTAGTGTTCTAGTCAGCGATCAATCCCAGTGAAAGGTAATAGAGAAAAAAACACCTGTGCTGTGGCTTATTTAGACTCCCTAGAATAGGCCTTGTCCTCCTAAAAAGTTCCCAGAGGCGTCCTCTTCAGCAGAGTGTTCCTCTGGGCAGGCCTTGGTAAAAAAAAAAAAAAATCATAAGCAGTAGCTGCTTCATTGCGTGAGCTAACAGGAACTGCAACCATAAAAGAAGCGGAGAGTGCAATAAACAAAGTAAACGAGAGTCTCATTCTGATAAGATGAGAGAAAAAGGCTAGGCTTTATGTATATAAATTGGATAGAATGTAGAAGCAGATTGTGAGTAAAAGAGCATAGAAAGCCATCTTTATAGAAATTTGGAAACAGACACGAGCGAATGCCCATACAGTACATTCCTAACTACATAGACACAAACATACGTTCCACGAATATAACAATGCATGAACATTAGCGCTAACAAACCTGCATTGCCCCCAAACGTTAAAGAAAACTAATTACTCAGGTTCAAGATACATCCATATGTCCTTCAGTTGTATGGCGCGTGATAAGGAATCGACCAAAGCTGTCAGCAAGTCGACTGGACAAACAAGTTCCATCAGGAGTTTTATCTATCAGGGACTACCAACTACGAAGTTAGAACTCGCATAGGATCGTCTTTGGAGATGTGAGTATTGCAATGAATTGTAACCTGCAACCAAGCCGTCGAAGATGTATAGAACACGATATCTACGTTCCTTTGAACAGGTTATCCTCGTTTAATCGGTCGGTGGATGCCAATTAGAAGCAAACACCCGCGCAATACGGTAGAGGTGCCGAAGCTAACATAGAAGTACTCCATCAGCTACATTGTCTAGTGTGCAGATAAATACCTGCCTAGCTATCTGATCTGGGTGACTAATTTTGATTTCTCGTGTTAGAACATGATTCGACAGTACACGTACCTGGACTCCTACGAAGTGCCATTTGAGAGATTTCAGACATTCCTGGAGATGTTAGGAATCCATATTGAGTATTGCATCGAGACACTGCGTATTCATCTCATCTGTGCAAGGGGATCTGACGCCTAGTGAGGCTGGATGAGTCCAAGCCGCTCGAGGCCGAGGCATAATTCTCGACACACCACAAGTATCACCTTTTCGACAAGCTAACCAATTGGATGGAGATGCATGATGTGCCTAAATAAGAGTAAAATCTCCGCCGGGGATAGTGGAACGCATAGGTCCCAGCTACCCTTGGCGTGGCTTCATCTAGCCCTTATACAGTTTTGCCCGGGTGCTCGACGATTTAAAACAATTCGCTTGTTTACAAATGGGTGTTGCATATGTCTAGGGTTAATTGATGGATCTTTTCTTATACTAACTTCGTTGATTCTTCCATACAAAATTCCCGAGGTGAGGTTGTTCTAAAGTTCCAACCTTGCAGATACCCAGATGGAAGCGGGTCTACGGGTTCCACCTGGGCCCACCAAGGTTTGATTCTGTCCACGTTAAAACTGACCTCAGGAATTACCAAGTGTCGACCAATCAAGTTGTCGTTTGAATCCCACCTCTTAGTTGGAAGCTTACCTCGGCAGCGTCGCTGAGAGTAGTGATCCTGTCCTTCCTAGGTTTTCATAAACATAATGGGCTACTATTAGTGTCAAGATTAAACAATTAGATGTAGGGTAATATCATTGTATTGTTTTTTTTGTATAGAATTTAAACTAGCGATATTTATATATATTTAGCGTATTGTTGACGAACGTTTCTCTATATTTCATTTGACTCACTATAACTGGATTTTACTATAGTGGGTAGACTTGAAAGTCTACATACGATATAGCCTTATTATTTTCGTCCTATCTCACTTTCCTTGAGCTCAGATACTGTTCAAAGCATGTGAGGTGGAATGGTGGCTGAATCACCAGATATGCTTCCCCACTAAACATCATCGTGCGGCGCGCCACGGGTTTCATGCCATTGCTATTCTCTTCCTTACTAAATTTAAGCACATCTTCTCCCCATACCATACGTCGGTCTGGCCCTACTCCAAGGTGGAGAAAGGAGTGACAGCGGCTATAGTGCTGGCGAGTGAATCGGGGTGTGGCGCAATTCATTATGCACAAGTATCTGTATCTGTAACTAACTACCTATCCTGTCTACAATTATTAATCACGTCATTCGCCCAGGGCTGACCAGAGCCATGACAACGGGGGTTCCATTAAAACGCTTCAGTCCGTAACACGATTGGCTCTCGGTGGCACGTCAGAGTCCCCCAATTAGTTGGCAATTCCGGTGGTTGTAACTTAAAAGCCTACGCGGCCAACAGATAAGATGTTGGATCGGAAGAACTTCTACCCGGAGTTTCTTTATAATCCTGTGCAGCCCTTGCAGGAGGTCGTCCCTCTGCATCTGCAATAATCCCACATTTATCGCCATCTATCTCACTGAAATGGAATTATCGATACACCCAATAGCCCATGTATGTTTATCATAGTTCATTGAATACCATTTTTTACTGATATGTCTACGCCAAGCCACAAAGTCGTGACCCTGATGGATTTTTTCCACTAGATGGAAAGGACCTTAATTCCGTCACAGATGAGGCTCTGGCAACTCTTCTCACATCTTCTCCTATCCTCCACCAGCTAGGTGGAACGACAGTTGTGCGGCTTTCAAAGACCTTGATTATGAAGGGTGGCGGGAGTGTTATGGCTAGTGAAGCGGAAATGCTCCGTCTTATTGCTTCCAGAACCACTATTCGAGCCCCAAGAGTCTATCGCTCATTTCAGGTCAAAGATGATACACAATATTTCGGTACATCTGGGTATATTGTGATGGATTTTATCCCAGGTCAACCACTGGATAAGATCTGGAACAGCCTATCCCGTGACACTCAAGGGAAAATCGCTACGCAGGTTGCTGAAATAATCCAAGAGATACAGTCTATTGAGCTTTCACAGCCCGGTCCCACTGGTGGAGGACCAAGTCGGGGTCGGTTCTTCACAGATTATAGTGCGGGGCCTTTTACAGACACTGCTGAAATGGAAGCTTGGTTTAACCACAAGCTAGATATCTGCAAAAGTGTCTATCAAGCCCCAAAAGACATTCCACCATTCCATTTTACTAAGTTTGTCCTTACACACAACGATATCAGTCCTCGAAACCTGATCTTAGATCAACATGAACAACTGTGGTTGATTGACTGGGCATATTCTGGTGCATATCCTCCTGTCTTTGAATGCGCGGCATTGTCAATACAGCCATTTTTCACTGATTTCAATGAAGCGGTGTTATCCCTTATTCCACGTTACCCTGAGGAGGAAATGCAACTTGACTCTATTGCATATGGATTAACCACCGCGGCATTGGCCTAAGGGAGGCTTAAATGGAAGCGGACTACGAGGAAGTTGAAGAAAGCGCGTCCTTTTAATAACCATAGATTCGAAATGGAGGCCCATGTTAATTGCCTAAATAAAACTAGGATAAGTCGTTTCATGAGACGCCCATTGCCTTACCCATCGTAAAGGCGTCCGAGGATTGGTGCTTCTCAGTCTGGCGGTTAGCGAGGTCCCACTAGATAGTCACCTTCATTTTGCCTGAGAATTTTATATCGGTAGTTTCAGCCAATGAGAAGTGTAAAATGCACAACATTTTCCATTATGTAGTATTAGCGCTTGGGTATGAGACCGAGGCGGGTGGATTGGGGATGTGCACAGCATTTGATTGACACTCGACTCTTGAGGCCCGCACAACAGTGAGACAGGAAAATGGGCAGCGTGGCGAATAGGTAGCGGCGTGACGCCCGCGCTACAGCACTTACAGAGGACCGATTTCAGCATTACTTATTTTAGAATACGCCACAACGGCAGCACGAGAGCGGGGCATTGGCGTCGCGCCCACGATAGGCGTCAACTCGTAAGGGTTTGATACTCAAAGCTGTTTTCCTTGAAATTCTACAACATATCATTGAAATAATGCATGGTGACGCGGGACAGCTATTGAAGTTGTGCTTTATGCGCCAAGAGCTTCTACTGGATCTCATCCTCGGTTCTAAGGAACAAAAAGACTAAATCCAGGTGGACAGCTCAAAGCGAATTTCTTGATTCTGGGCTTTATCTGTAGCATTTTACAGAAGAGGTTAAAGATACTTATGAAGCTGCGCGGCTACTTTCAATAGGATGGAAAGAATATATCTATAGAGCAAATATATAGTATGAGCTTTAGAAGTGGGCTCGAAACCCATAAAAGGGTCGGGTCGGGTTTCGGGCTTTTCGAGCTTTGCGGAAGTCTAATGGGTTCTTTGCACAATAGAATGCATATAGGTCGGGATTGACAACATCTGTGGAAAAGAAAGAGTTAAGGTACCCGTAGCGTATAGGAGACTTTTGATATACCCGGCGACAGATGGCGAGAAGGTATTGGTAGATCGTACTTCTTTTGTTTTTTTTTTCATTCACTCAGTAACAGTATGCCTATGTCGTCGAAATGGTCCATTTCGCAAACTCTGCCAAGTAGTTCTAGTCCTTTTATCCTAAGAGAGAAAGAGAGCAATACCATGTTTATCAGGCGTCGGCCATAGCTAAATTAATAACAATTCACTATCATCTCTGTCTCTCTTTCGAGGTCTACGAGTCACATAAAATACCTTGGTGTGGTTGTCACGACGACAGAAAAGGCGAACAGACAACCATCCGCCCCGTACGTCAGTTGGTCTCGCTCTTTACATCCCGTCTTAGCCTAAGCTCAACGTGTCAAGGCTTGCCTCCTCCCCTCATCACAGGAAAGCCAAACAATCGCCACCATGTTCCAGAGTCTAAACTACTTCCAGCAATTAGAAAAGGTTTGTACCTTCTTTGATCCCCTGGATGAGTCGATATCATTATGCGATGGCCGTTATATTGGCGAAGTTACCGCAAAAATGGATCATGAAGAGTAGAGTTGACATCGCTAACTTTGGCCCCAGCTGGGTGAAGGCACCTATGCAACGGTTGGTAACCCCCATCAGCTTGATATTTGAAAATACTTCGGCCCTTCTGAAAGAATATCCGTCCCTAACAAGACCTACTAGGTCTATAAAGGCCGGAACAACCGAACAAATGAGTTGGTGGCCTTGAAAGAAATTCACCTCGACGACAAAGAAGGGACACCGTCTACTGCCATCCGTGAGATTTCCCTGATGCAGCAGCTAAATCATGAGAACATTCTACGCCTGTACGATGTGATCCATACGGATGAAAAGCTCGTAATTGTGTCAGAGTACATGGACAAGGACCTAAGGCGCTTTATGGACACCTGGGGCGGCGCTCTCGATCTACCCACCATCAAATCATTTGCATACCAAATGCTACGAGGCATAGCCTACTGTCACGGGAACAGCATCTTGCACCGGGATCTCAAACCTCAAAATCTGCTTATTAGCCGGGATGGAAGTTTGAAGTTGGCAGATTTCGGCCTCGCTCGCGCCTTTAGCATCCATGTCAGCACTTTGTCAAATGAGGTGGTCACCCTCTGGTACAGATCTCCCGATGTGCTCTTGGGGAGCCGCTCGTACAACACCGACATCGATATCTGGTCAGCGGGCTGCATCATCGCCGAGATGTACACCGGCTGGCCTTTGTTTCCAGGCACCTCTAACAACGATCAGCTGCTCAAAATCTTTCGAGTGACTGGTACCCCGTCCGAACATACTTGGCCGGGCATCAGTCAATTGCCAGGATTCGAGCCAACCTTTCCTGTGTACCCGACCCAAGACCTGCAGCACCTGATTTTCAGGCTGGATCCTCTTGGGGACGATCTGCTAGTTCAAATGCTACAATTGCGACCGGAGCTGCAGATCAGCGCCACCGATGCGCTACGCCATCCATGGTTTCAGAGTACTGTTTCTGACGCAGAGCGATCACCACAGAACTTGCCTGTATTTGTTTAGGTCTCCATTGTTATTAGGCCCATATGGTAAGGTGGAATTATCACAAACACTGGGCGCATTACTCGATCAGGGCCGTCACCAAGCTATAACAGAAGTAACAGGGAGAGATCGAGCTTTCTTGGGGTGTGTTTATGATAGAACACTCGAGTGGTGAAATGTATGTAGTTTTTACATGAATGAGCGCTGATATCTCTCTCTTGGATAAACAATCGGCCAATAACATCATATATTTTATATGCATAGTCGCTAATGAGATTAAGGGCTGCGGTACCGAAACATAGACCCGACTGGTAATTCCAAGCTGCAGAGCCCAAATCAGCTAATATCGCAATTGACATTGAATGATTAGTAGCAGTAGCAGCCCCATAATCAGCCAGTTTGATAACTGCAATAAATCTCAATCTACCGTGAGTCGTGACCTTCAGTCCAACCTCGTTGCCCTCAGCAGCGAGTGTAACATGTCAATATGGCCATACCCAGTAGCTTCTTCCGAAGCCTAAAAGGGCTTACACAAGAGGTACCAATATTGGCACTTAGATGAAGCAGCTTTTAGGCTATTCCGCTGCAAGAAAGCCCTTGACTGGTAAATTGCCATGATCGGACGCGTTAGACCACATACGTGGTGAATTCAAGTACATATATCCTAGTGCGCCTGGCCATAAATATCCTAGGTATAGAAAATCGTCTTTTTGTTGAACTTTTGATAGGCTGACAGATGATTTCAACGCTCACTTTCTATAATAGAGAATCACATACTCTCTAACACGGAACTAGGACGACCTTCTTTCTTGTACGGCTTTCATGTAGCGGTTTACTTTGCTAGTGGCAAAGCTACAGGGGGGTTATTTTTGGCTATTCGGTATTATCACCACAAAGAATACCGCTTTGATCTCAAACTTATTTTCGGAACCGTTGAGTGAAGTGAGCTTCGTAGGACATCGCAAGAACTAGGTCACATATCAATCACGTGATGACAATGAACGGGTTGAAATTTAGTCAGCCCGAGGTCGGACCCGCTCGGGAGTGTCCTGGGGCGGCAGCTAAAATTGCAAATAGGAAATTACGACACTCATCACCAGATGTAAGTCAAAAAAGCGCCGAATGAATTGTAATTGGATATAAATCATTATTGAAATAAAACGCCTGCCAGTTCCATGCATCTTGGGTATCGACAGAATGAGGAAAGAAGATGGCCATAACACCAGAATGCAAATGAGTGCCCGCAAAATCAATGCCCAAGTAAATCACAGATAAAGGTGGTACATGGCTGTTGGGCTGCTTACAGGTTTATTGCAACCTGCAACCTGGCACTTTGAGAACGGCTTGGTCTTTGAAGTTCCCTTTTTGGACTTCGAGATAGACCGATTTCCAGCGCATTCCCCACAGTAGACCTGATAAAAACGGTTAGCTCTTGTAATAGACTTGATCGGCCCAAGATGGAGAATGCTCACATGGCCACATGGTTTCGCAATATGGATCTGTTGTTTCAGCCCCTCTCCAGCGCCCAACTCGTCCTGGCAGTTTGGACAGATAGGAACGTCATCTTCTGCCAAAAGTCGAGTGAATCCCTCCGGTGCTGGGCTTAGTCCTTTGTATGATGATCGGCGAGGCCGGGGTGCTTGTTGATCAGGCGGATTGTGGTCAAGGGCGGCAGACACCCACGAAAGGAGGTCACGCTCGGTACGAAAAAAGGACCTTGGGCTCAACGGTCTTCTCGGTCGCCCATGCTCCAATGCTCTCGACCGCTGTGTGGGGGGAGAAAAGTACATTGGCATGTCATTGTTGTCGAGGTACCTGGGTTCTATTGGTCTTGGCCTGATGGAAGAAGACCCAACAATTTGAACATCTGCACTGTTTGGCGAAATATCGACCGGATCACTTGTGGTCTCCGCTTCCAGATCAATCACGGTTGGGTGGTCAGCCGCAGGAGACGTGTGGTTCATCAAATCTCGTGGAAATCGTAATCTCGGACGGTGCGGATGTGGGGTATGTAGAGGACCGGGAAATCGTGTCGCATTTCTGTGAGGAGGAGAGTCAGGCTCATTTGTCAAATCGATCACGACATTGTTTCCAGGTGAAAGAATCGCCGGCCGTCGGTAGTCAAGTCCATCTCGATGTCGTCTGTGTGGCAAGCGGCTGGATTGAGACCTAGCGTGGTCGGAGCGAGGTGGATGGAAGTGCTCCTCCCAAGCGGCATCGCCGCTTCTATCGTTCTCTGTGGTCATCTCACGATGTGTTCGCTGAGAGGAATAGGAATCTTGTTAGTTGGGTTCTTGGTGATCTGATCAGGTGCCCCGCCCGTTTCACGATCGATGAAGGCGTACCTTGGTTCTGGCGCCCATAAACTGGACGCCAGAGTTTTCACTCATTTCAGGACCTATTCCTGGTCTCAAAGAGCGATATTTTGCAGAAAAAGAGGAAATTGAAGGCCACCAGGGAGGTGAAACAGCAAGGTTGAAATCCATCTTTGTTTCTAGGCCGAGTCGAAAGGCGGTCGAGTTATGCCCAATATTATACGGCGGTGTGGGCTCATTAGTAAGGTTTGCCTGAGTGACGTTGAGAGCATTCCAAATTGACCAGATCAAGTGGCTGTGGCAGCAGATATTTAACTCGTTCCTGTAGAGATTTGTTGCTATCCATTATGATTATTTCACGAGGAGCTTTATGATATGATTTAAAACAATAAAAGATATGAATTCACGAGAAGGTTTTTCATTCATGACTAAGGTTACATGTGAATATCCATGGATTGTCTGTGAATATCGTCGCATCAAGAGCTGCAGTAGTTTCAAAAACAAACATCATTGAAAATTGAGATAGCATGCTCTAGTAATACAGTATTTTCCTGGTGATCATGACTGTGCCGTCAGCACTGTGACCGCTCCCGCCTCATTCAATGCCACAATACTCTGAGCAGCTGATCCCCAAGCAACCGAGGTAGCAGGGACTGCACTCCGTAGAGGCTCTGACCATGCCTTGGATGCCTTGGAGTATTGCTGGACAGTCACTCCGCTAGGCCCACCAGTCAAGAGGAATTGGCCAGTGTAGTCCCAGAAGATCGACTCAATCTGGCTTCCGGTGTCCAGTACCTTGGTTTCCTTGGAGCTGCGAAGATCCCAGATCGATACAGTGGTGGACTGTGCAGCCACTGCGGCGAGGTAAGTGCCGTTCTCAGAGAAGAACAAGCATTTGACTGGTCCTGACATGGCATAGTCCGCAGCAGCGGCGCCCGTCTTGACATCAAAGATTTTGACTTGTCCATCTGCGCCACCGGCCGCGATCAGGTGGCCATCTGGGTGGAAGTTGACAGACAGTAGAGCTGAATAAGAGCAATTAGAATCGAACTTGGGTTTATGTGTTCTATAGGGTGACTCCTTACCTGCATCGCAGAAAATCTGGGAAACAACAGTGTTTGTGGCGAGATCATAAAGCACATAACTCTTATCGACACCAACAGAGGCAACAATATCGCCAGTAGCGTGTACTGTGACAGCCGTCACCTCACCAGCATGGGAGGCGAAGCTTGCAACCTCTGCGCCATTCTCAAAGACCTTGACGGAACCAGTAGAGGAGCCAACGATGGCCTTGTTTCCTGCCCAAGTCGCATCGGTGACCGGGCCATCTGTCTTGAGGGTCTGTACGACATTCTTCTGGGAAAGCGAGTAAACACCAACCACGCCGTCAACACCGCCAACAAGAGCCAGGTCACCAGTCGAATTGATAGACAAAGCGCGGCCACCGGGATAGAGAGGTTCGGAGGTTTCAGTTGGTTTAAATGTGGAAATAGCCTCGCTTGAGGCCCATCCCTCAGGGACCGCGCGCTTACGCCGGGTCTTAGATAGCCTGTCAAATATTTAGCCGTTGGTCCAAAAGGTGATGTAGAGAGCACCGGTTCCACTTACGCTGCCTGTGTGTTCTCAATTCGTTCCAAGACTGCCTGGGGCAAGTCCGTAGAGTCCACCTGCATAGCCTCGTCGCCTCCAGAGCGACTGACACTAACGGAAACGTTCGAAAGTGCCTGGCGGGCCTCATCCCTCTCCTGGGTTATACGCGCGATCACTCGCACTGCGGCATCGTGCTGGTAGAGTGCCGCACTGAGCTCGCGCCTTGTCTGTGCTAGATTTTGCTGCAAAGTGAAAGTTTCAAGAGCCAAAGCATCCCATTCTTCTTGGAAAACGCTCAGAAGAGACGGGATTGATGTGAGGGTAGGGGGCCGGGGTCGGACAACGCGTTGCGACTTGAGCTCGATCAGATCGTCGGTGGTAAGATCCTCGCCGTTCACAGGATCTTTGCCATGCTCGGCAATGTATGCCTCAATGAGGCGCTTTTCAAATACGCTGCCTGTTTCATTATAAGATGAATGTCGTGCGCGCAAGGTGATTTCGAGGACTTACCGCTCTTGGTAGAGACGACGGGCACTTGAGGTGCTTCTCCGGAGACTGCAAGAGAAGTTTAGTTACGAAACTCGTTTCAAAGAAGGGCATGGAATTGCAAATAGCAGTAGGCCACTCACTAGCACAAAGCATAGTTAATTGATATCGGTTGATGAGAGTTGATGGAGAGGACTTGATGCAGAGCGGCTCCCTGGACTTTTCGATGTGTCCTATTGGGGCTTAGCGCCTTGAGCTGGAAGGCGGTATAATAGGGCGGAGTATTGCGACCAATATTGACGTAAGTCCATCATATACTGCTGGCAGAGATATAAGTACTTCCACCGTGGGTTGCAGAAGGCGGAGAAAAGGGCGGTGGAAATAATTAGCCAACCAGGCCCAGGAAATGGTTGGTCGCAATATTCTACTGTAGGGGCCTTAGCTATGGACTTTAGTTCTTCAATTCTTGCTCTTTGCACATAGAGATAACCTCTCTGTCTTTTTGATTGCACGAAATGGATTTTACCCAATAATCTATGTACAATATAGGCAAAGGGCAGTACAAGTACAGAGCTTCACTGAAAGCTAGCAAGCGAATACAGCATTCCCACCATGCCTAAGAATCCGAAGTTTGAATATGGTATGTCACTTCACAGCTTTGTAAAATGTCGCACATCATTCTGATCTGTTATACAGATGCGAAGCAGCCTGCATTCCTCCAGAAGCTCCGAGGCCAGTATGGAGATAACACCGGTCGCTTGGAGCGGCCTGCCTTACGACCGACCAGACTCAAGGTCAATAACGAAGACGACGATGATGAGCCTACCTACCTTGATGAAGAAAGTAATGAAGTGATTTCCAAGGAGGAATACAAGGCATTGATCGGTGAAAGTGGCCCAAAAGGAGAGGGCGAGGCCGACAACTCAACGAAGGACAACTCCACTGGCGATCAAGACAAATCCCAAACAGAAATTTCTACCAGCAAACAGAACAATCTCACTGAGGTTGGGGGACAGAGGAAAAGAAAACAGGCCAAAGTGGTGGGCGACGACAAGGCAGAAGCCGGAGAAGTCCAGCCCAAGGCGACTTCGAAGAAATCTAAGAAGCCTAAGAAGATCAAGCTCTCCTTCGACGAGGAATGAGAGTCTAGCTAGGCTTATGAGAAGTGTAGTACTACTTTGCGCTGGCTGCCAGGTCGTGGATACTTGACTCAGCGCAAGGCGTTGAGGACTCATAATGAGTCAATAGAACAGGATTACACAACCGGGATTGTATACCAGCATAAGATGAGAGACTGTTAAGGTCAATACCAATCATATAGAAGAATGTATAGATAGCCATGCCAGTATGCAGTCTATAATATATAAATGTACCCAGCTTGACAGTCCGAATGAAATATTAATTGAAGTGCTGTTCAAGGCCTGGGCCAAGGGCGCATCTTTATCAGCAACTTTTTTTTTGCAACCTTTTTTTCCCTCTCGCGGGATCCAATCGCCTTCCATTCTTTTTACCTACGCCTGCTCTTGGTCCCAATAACAGCCAAGATGCCTGTGGTTAACGTCGACCAGCTGGTCCGCCTACAGCGGAAGCCCGAGGACATAAGAAATGTGCGTGTGCCCCTCCATCCCACTTTAATGTCTGATGTCAGGGCTTTATACTAATCTCAGCCACCAGATCTGCATTTTGGCCCACGTTGTATGTCAAAAGAAATTCACCTTCAATTTTGTTCAAAATGTGTTTGAAACGCTTATCGTATTTTTTTTGCATTTTAGGATCATGGCAAGACATCTTTGACAGATAGTCTTATTGCCACAAATGGTATCATTTCACCCAAACTGGCCGGTAAGATCCGCTACCTGGATTCTCGTCCAGATGAGCAGCTTCGAGGTATTACAATGGAGTCCTCGGCTATCTCACTGTTCTTCTCGATGCTCCGCCGTCCGAGCCCGGACGCAGCGCCAGTGCCCAAAGAGTATCTGATCAACCTGATCGATTCACCTGGTCATATCGATTTCAGTAGCGAGGTCTCAACCGCATCTCGTCTTTGCGACGGTGCAGTTGTACTTGTTGATGCAGTCGAAGGTGTCTGTAGTCAGACTGTGACAGTCCTACGCCAGACTTGGGTTGAGCAGTTGAAACCGATCTTGGTTATTAACAAGATGGATCGCCTGGTAACAGAGCTGAAGATGAGCCCTGCTGAGGCTTTCTCCCATCTTAGTCGGCTTTTGGAACAGGTTAATGCCGTCATCGGTAGTTTCTACCAAGGTGAACGCATGGAAGAAGATTTGCAGTGGCGTGAGCGGATGGAAGACCGTGTCAACGCTGCAGCAGCTCGGGGGCAAGACAATAAATATCCGTCGGCAGACGATGAATCTGCACAAAGCGTGACCGATGGAACTGAATTTGAGGAGCGCGACGATGAGGATCTTTATTTCGCGCCTGAGAAAAATAACGTCATCTTCTGCAGCGCTGTCGATGGCTGGGCCTTCACAATCCGGCAATTCGCCGCCATTTACGAGAAGAAGCTCGGAATCAAACGAACAGTTCTGGAGAAAGTGCTTTGGGGTGATTATTATCTAGACCCTAAAACCAAACGCGTCTTGGGTGCAAAGCATCTGAAGGGACGTGCTTTGAAGCCCATGTTCGTTCAATTGGTCTTGGATAGCATTTGGGCAGCTTATCAAGCCACCACAGGTGGTGACAAGGGCAAAGGGTAAGTTGACAATCAATCCAAAGATCGTGTCAACCCTGATATTGACCTTTACTAGTGACCCAGTATTGCTGGAGAAGATCACCAAATCGCTCAACATTAATATCCCCGTATATATCTTGCGCGGGCGCGACCCTAAGAACATTATGAACGCACTGTTCTCTCAATGGCTGCCGCTATCTACTGCGCTGCTGGTTTCAGTCATTGAATATCTCCCCAGTCCCCCAGCTGCGCAAGCTGCTCGACTGCCGGAAATGATTAGAACATCCCCTGGTGCTGCTTTCATTGCCGATGATATCAAAACTGCCATGGTGGATTTCAAGACAGGACCCGAACAGCCCGTCGTGGCATATGTCAGCAAGATGGTTGCCATCCCGGAGAGCGAGCTTCTGTCTAATAAGAAGCGTAGCGAAGGTGCCTTGACTGCGGGAGAAGCCCTTCAACTCGCGCGCCGTAAGCGAGAGGAGATTGCAAAGATGCAAGCAGAAGCTCTCAAAAATGGACAAGGAGATGACTTTGATCGCATGACATCAATGTTCGAAACCACCTCATTGATCACTGAGACAACCGATGAACCAGAAGAGCTAGTCGAGAAGGACGACCCTGACCACCTCATTGGTTTTGCCCGACTTTATTCCGGAACCCTTACGGTTGGTGATGAGATATATGTCCTCCCACCCAAGTTCTCCCCAGCCAACCCGCACGCCAGCCCGGAGCCAAAGAAAGTCATAGTCACAGATCTGTACCTGATGATGGGCAGAGCTCTCGAGCCCCTCAAGTCTGTACCAGCCGGTGTGGTGTTCGGAATTGGAGGTCTTGCAGGCCATGTGTTGAAGACAGGCACGCTCTGCAGCCGACTGGATGGAAGTATCAACCTGGCTGGTGTTTCGCTGAGCATGCCGCCCATCGTCCGAGTCGCACTGGAACCGGTCAACCCAGCAGACCTAAGCAAAATGGTCACCGGCTTGCGCTTGCTTGAACAGAGTGACCCTTGTGCACAGTACGAAGTGCTCCCTAGTGGTGAACACGTTATCCTCACAGCAGGTGAACTGCACTTGGAGCGCTGCGTGACGGATCTCCGGGAGCGTTTCGCACGTTGCGAAATCCAGACTGGCGAGGCCATCGTCCCCTACCGTGAAACTATTGTTCACGGCCCCGAGATGGCTGCACCCAAAAATCCTGAACTAGGACGTGGAGCGCTTTTGACGGTTTCTCCTTCGAAACAAATGACCCTTCGTCTGCGCGTGGTTCCGATGCCAGAGGCCGTGACGGAATTCCTGACTAAACAAGTCGGAACTATCAAACAGCTCCAATTGGAGAAGCGCACAGAGGCTGAAGGCAAGACAGAAACCGAGAACGCGGTTGAAGGTGTCGTCGACGGTACGGGCGAGGCGCCTGAAGGCAACATTCTCTCCAAGCAGGAGTTCCGCGAAGCACTAGATAAGTTGTTCAACGACGAGGTCAAGGAAGACAAGGAGCTATGGAAGAACGTCGTTGATCGCATCACTGCTTTCGGGCCCCGAAGAGTCGGCCCCAACATTCTGGTTGATGCAACTACAGTCAACACCTGCGACAAATTGTGAGTATACCGGTCTAAAAAAACACTGTGCCTATCTTTCGGATCTAACATCTCCTTTTTAGCTTGGTCGATGACATCAAGCAACATATCGACGGTAACAATCACCAAGCACTACTTGTGCGTGACTTCAACGACAAGGTCGCGTATGCCTTCCAGCTTGCAACTGGCCAAGGCCCCTTGTGCCAGGAGCCTATGCAAGGCGTAGCCGTGTTCTTGGAAGATCTATCTGTGCAGTCTAGCGCAGGCGACGAGCTTGACATGGGCCGGTTGACAGGCGAGTCAATCAGACTGGTCCGTGAAGGTATCTCTGCCGGTTTCCTGGACTGGAGTCCTCGCATCATGCTCGCAATGTATAGTTGCGAGATCCAAGCGACCAGTAAGTATTTCATTCATCCCCTTCCTATTACTCCAAATACCCTCATGCCATCACATAAACCATACGCAAAAACAAACCCACTAACACAATATCTTCACCCCAAAAGCCGAAGTCCTAGGCAAGGTCTACGCAGTAGTCACCCGGCGCCGAGGCCGCATCCAATCCGAAGTAATGAAAGAAGGCACGCCGTTCTTCACGATTCTGGCTCTTCTCCCTGTAGCAGAGTCGTTCGGGTTCGCTGAGGAGATCCGCAAGCGAACGTCTGGCGCCGCGCAACCGCAACTGATCTTCGCGGGCTTCGAGGCTCTCGACGAGGATCCGTTCTGGGTGCCTGCTACCGAGGAAGAACTTGAGGATCTAGGCGAGCTTGCAGATAAGCAGAATGTTGCTAAGCGGTATATGGATGCTGTGCGCAGTCGCAAGGGTCTGGTTGTTCAGGGACGTAAATTGATTGATGCGGAGAAGCAGAAGACTTTGAAGAAGTAAGGCCGGTGTACTATTTATTTTGACAAAGTTCAAAACGGGAGATTTATTTGCATTTCATTGGGATCTTTTTTTGTAGGATTAAGATGCTTTATATATGGATTAAGGATGTCACTCCGAAAACATCTGTCAAGTTGCACTCAGTAGACTTGGACATGACAGATGAATAATTGGAGGTTCACAGAGGATGAGAGTCCTCCGCGTGCTCTTCAAAAGAAAAACTTCAATCTCCCTTCACTTGACAAACACAGTCCGACATGGAATAGGTCTCGACCGTGTATACTAAGGAGGGTTACCCAGGAGGGTCTACGAGTAGCGGCGTTGACGCCTCTCTACTTGGAAAGAAGAGCGAGGAGAAAAGCGACCACAGGAAGGCAGACTGCAGCCATGGATCGAAGGAAATGAAAGGGCGGAAATGACATGGATCTTTCAATCATGTCTCCGCTGGGTATCTTTATTCTGAAATCGTGATCAATATCGATAATACACATGTCCAGGAGTACACGTTGGCGTAGTTGGATCGAGTCAAATGCGGGGCGGTTCCCCGTTGTGAAGCATGAAAGTCGTCATGCTCAAGCCAGATGTTGATGCTTGAGAGCATGGAACAAGTGTGGGGGCTTGAAAGGCATTCCTCGCAGTGAGGGTTGGAGAGTGCAAGTTTGTTGACACCCAGTGACCTCGGAGGTAGAAAGACAATGCTCTCAGGGGATGAGCTAGATCTGCCACAGACATATGGGTGGATGGGGGCAGAGTCTGCTTGGTTGTTGTTGATGAACCACTATGTGGCAACTTAACAGTGGAGGTAAAAGGCACGAAACCTTTGGTCAATTCAAAGAAAGCCAAAAGCCACGAGAGGGGGACCGAATTCGAACAATTGAATGTTCTCAGAACGGCCTGGCGACCTTCCTCTGCTCCCTGATTGCAGTGAGAGGATCTCTCATTTCTTTCCAGCTAACAGGGAACATCATATTTCCAGCTTCACTGCGAGCCATGA